TTCAAGCTTTACAAGAGAACATTCTGTGGTTACGTAAGGCTTCAGGCCTGCCCTGCGCTGGAGTCTACCTGAGTTGTTCTTTGGTATGTCAGTTTTCAGGAAAAGTTCGACTGTTGGGACAGTCTTCTTGTCGTCTTTGCATCTTTGTTAGCCATCCAAACACTGCTGGGGAATTCAACCAGGGAAAAGAGGTAAGAGCTTTGCTTTCCCAAGAAGCTGGAGATGTTTTCCTACCTTCCCTAAAGAAGGGCCTCTATTCTTTCCTTTTCTAGGTGAAATTATTCCTTCAATATTGACTTTTTTTAAAAAAAAAAAAATTTTATTTTAGCCCAAGCTGTTCTTGGACTTTAATTATCCATTATGGTCTACAGCCCAAGAGATTTCTGTCCTTATATTTGCAGTGGCTGTGCCCCAGCCAAACCACAGGAACCTCTTTCTGAAGGCAACTTGGCCCTACAGCAGTCCAGTGTTTGCTGCCACTGGTTCCACCTGGTATTTTGAAACCAGAGAGTTGCTTTTAAATTCAGAATCAATGTTAGCTCAATGTCAAAATTCAAGTCTAGCATAAGTGAGTTCATTCATCAATTACTTCCTTAGATTTCTCTGCAAACACCCACCCCCCCCAGCACCCACCCATAGTCCTCTTATGCACATTCATGGTGAATCACAGCTCTGGTCTCTGTTCTAATGGAGTTTATTCTGCGGCCCAATCTGCATCAAAACATCCCCCATGAGGAGTTAATATGTCCGTCACTTATATTTGAAGGGATAGGCACAATTTATAACATCTGGATATCAAGAGACTGGATTTATGCCTATTTGAGCTTGTTTTTGAACCCGGGGTGCTGCCCTCTCAAGTCCTTGCCTAAGCCAGGCAAAGCTCTGTCAAAACAGCGGACTATGCCAAATTGAATTTGCCTGTTTTCTTCATATCACTGTCATGATTTGAAATTATTGAGACGAAGTAACACTGTACCTGTGCTTTACCAGGTCAACCAATGTATAAAACAGCACACGTGTAAGAACACCACCCACCTGAGGATTATGAAGCTGATCTGGCTTTATATCTTGTCTCATTCCTGATAATAATAGGGATGATAACAACAATAACTATCATTATTATTATCGGTATCAGATTGTACTTACTTAGGATGCTCTTTTTTATTGATCAAAAGTAGCTTCTATACCATCTAATGCTGTTACTTTTTTTTACTTGACTATAGTTGCTCAGTGAAGTAGAATGATACAAAAAAATTAAAACACTGTCCACTGAACACTTCAGCAAGGATTATAGAGAAGATAAATCCCCCTAATTACTTGCTTCTTGGTTTATACCACACCAAGAAACCAAAGCATCAGCAAGGGCTCTGAGGAGTTCTCCTGTTAATGACCAAGGGTCCTAGATCAGCAATGTCCAATACAGCACCCTGTCCCTGTGGACATGTCCCATACAGGCATTGACTGATTCAGGGTGGCTACTGTGCCAAGGGTGTAGTGAGGGCAGCAGCAGAACTGAAGCATTAGCTGCATTAATTTTAATTAATTTAAATCCAAATCTAAATATCCATGTGGTTAGTGTCTCCTATATTAAACATGGCAGCTCTAAATACCTGAGCCAGCCCTCAGAGTTTTTGCCTTGCTCCTTAAAGACCTGAGTCTGATCATCCTCTTCACAATCAAAACCCTTGAAAATATCTGTAGAAATGATGCTCGCCCTGGTACAAGGGACCCTTCTTTGTCATTGTGGCTGGAGACTAAAGGTAAGTGGCTTCTCAGAGACCATGGGCAGGCTCCTCCTCTGCCACCAGGGGTCACTGAATTTGGAACAGAGTCCCCAGAGGCTGGGATGAACATACTCCAGGCTGCTCGGCCACAAGCAAAGAGCTAAAAAAAGCATTTCTGAGTGGCTTGAAAGACTGTCTTGAAAAACAAAAACAGTGGAATGAGACCAGTGGGTGTCTTGTCAGCCTGGAGCAACCAACAGCACTGGCCAAAAGAACAGAACTAATTGCTGACTTAAAAGGAGAAGGAAGGGGGGCGAGGGAGAAAACACGAGAAAACAACTAAATCAAAAAACATCTAAGGAATGTGAGTAGTTTCCACAGACACTTCTAATCAAATGGCTTGTGTATGATATTTCAACATGACTATTTCCTCCCTTCTTTCCACGCTGTCTCCCAACCCCATTCCCTCTACCCTTGATGGAGACACTCTTCCTTACCCAAATTTAATTACTTCTGTCTACCTACCCTCTAAGGGGATAAAATACATGACACGCTCCTCAAGATGGGACCGGTCTCCTCTTTGTGGGATAGCAAAGCGTGGGTGACACAGTGGCTTTCAGGTTGACTCGGTGGCATAGCCACTGTGAACCCATCAGCATTTGCCCCACCCCCAGAGGAGCACAGCTGTTTCCTTTCTCCTGCTGGCTCCCCTCAGGGCCCTGTTTTTTTTTTTTTTTTTAAAGGAAAGGACCACCCCGAACAGAAAGGGCGTTCTATCTTCTGCTGAAAAGCCTGATTTTGAGTTTTGTAAGCAGAAGGAAAATGGGAAATGCAGAAACAGGGTTTTAGAATCATCCGAGGATAGAAGGAAGGACTTGAACAATATTATGATTTTGTTTCCCTGAGGCGGGTTACAAGTGCCACTCTTCCAAACTTCAGGGATTCCTCTGAAAGAGCAAGATAATTGTTTTCCTTCTCAGTATCTTAAGGGAGGAACAACATTGGATCTAGCAGTTCCTTATGGCCCTAATATTTTCAGTTCCGTCCATTCAGCCAAAGGCTGAGATTCTGCCCATTTTGTGAATTTGCTCTGAAAAGCCCCCCCAGACGTCATCGTGGCATGAATCAAGTGGAATGGGGACAAAGACTAGAATTCCCAACCAGCAGCAAAGGTCAATGGGTAGGACATTCAGGTGGGGACCAGCACTGGACAAGGAGGGGCAGGTAAAGGGCAAGAATGGTACAGGCCAGAGTCTCAGGGAGGTGACTTAAGCTGTTCCAAAACTGCTACCTGCTAAGTGGCTTTGTCGCCTGGACAGGACTGGCATCAGAGATTGTTGGGCAAAATCTCCTTATAAGAGCGAAAGAGAAGGGGCCAGGATTATTAGAAAACAACCTGAAGAGGGACATTGAATAAGAGTCAGTAAATTTCCTCACTCTACAGAGAGCCCATGTGCAGCCCTTTATTCAAAGTGCCTTTGCCAAGCCGTACCTTATCCACACCCTCACAGACACCCCCCCAACTCATAGGGACCACAAACTGTGCTTGTTCAGACACGAGCTTGTTCTGCACATGAGCACACACCTTACCAGCCTCCCCTACATTCAGAGAAAAGATGGGGGTTGGGAAAACCCACCAATTAATTGGACCCAGTCTCAAAGGGGAGGAAATGAAATGAAAAATCCAGGCTGGGTTATAAAAATAAGTAATTTTTTTCCCCAACATGCAGGAGGCTCATTATTTTAATTAAACATTATTGCAGTGAGTGAGGGGGGAGGGCGATTAAGGCTGGGACTGGGGTGAGTGTTCTCTCCTGTGCCTGAGGCCGTGGGCATCTTCAGATACTCATCTCTCTGAGCACTCAAATGCTGAAGAGATAAACACTTGAAATATGAAAATGTTTTTCTCCAGAGCAGACGCTGTGACCCTCCAGGAAACCAAGAGTGGGCTGTGTCAGAGGCTGGCCCAAGCGCTCTCCTAGGGACTGTCCTACTGCTCTTCCCGGGGGACAGGGGACACCTCCAGCCCTTGGGTGAGGGGCAGCAGAGCAATTCTGAGGAAGCTGGCAGCAGGAAAGCCCCTTCCCCCTTTTATTTTCTAGCTTTATCCCATTACATACTAGTAACATTTAGTCTACTAAATTTCCAGAATTAACCCCTTTCCTCTCAAATGCTTATAGAGAAGTCTAAGTCCAGGCTGGAGGTGTAGAAAAATGGAAAGGTATAACGAGTAGTGTGCTGGATCAAGTGTACCAGTTAGTGAGAGTCCCTTGTTAAATTTTCCGGAATTTTGCAAGGAAGTTAAATGTAATCATTATGATAAATGAAATCACATAAAATTACAATAAATCATATTAAAAACAAAAGGTAATAAACATCCCCCAAACCACACTTCCTAATTATTTTAATACAATTTGGCCAGTATCTTGCTTCTCAGGTAATTTATAGCCGTAGCAACTCTACAATAGAAAACCTCTCCCTCATATCCTGTGCCTCTAAACTCTGCCTCCAATGCTGTATCAGTGGCTGGAACTGAATGGACAGCAAGAACATTTACACCACCGAAAGCGGCAAACATTACAAGCACATTCTTTTTTTTTCCCCAGCCTTTGGAAAGTTGTCAACGTTGACGGGAACACCACTAGGAAATCATTCAATGGTGGAAAAGTTAGACAACTCTTGCTATTTCCTGTTTAGAAAGGCTGATGGCATCTGGCTCTCTGAAACCAAAGGGTGAACTTAACCTGCCAAGTGTCGTCGGGCAGCTCTGCTTGTGCACCCATGGGTGTCACATCTGGGACACCCATGGGTGTGGCAGCATTTCAGTCCCTTGACTTGCTAGGCTCCAGAAGGGGTGATATACTCAGAGTATCCCTCAGAGTCAAAGCCAGTGGCTTCCCAATGAGCCACTTTGGGAACGATACCAGGAGAGGCTCTGTGATAGTGGCAGCCATGCTGGCTGTGGGAACGAGGACACCGGATGACTCCTCCCATTTCCTGGGACCTCCCAATGCTCCTTCTTTCTTTTTCTTTTATCCTGGTCTCTCCCTCCCCCTCCCCGATGCCAGGCTGTGCTGTAATCACAAGTGAGGGCTGGAACCAGCCAGCAACTAGTCTGTGCGATGACGTCTGCAGCACAGACTGGTGGTTTGTGGGCAAGGAACAGAGAATGGCTCTGTGGTGGGAAGTGATGAAGCTTGCAGGGGGAGCCGGGGCTGGAAAACATGCAGCAGGCTGGCCTCACGTCCTTCCTCTCCCAGCCTTCAGTTGGCTCACCTGGAAATGTCCGGTCGCTGGGGCTGGAGCTGCTGGTCCAGGTGCTTCTGAGCCACTTGGCATGGTCATACATCCAACCACAGGGCTCCTCGGGGAAATCGAAGTTGCAATTGAATCCTGAAGGGAGCTGCAAATCTTTGTCTAAAGGGGGAGAAAAAAATAACCCAAAGGAAGGCAAATGAAATGGGTCCAGAGAACAGCCACAGTGGTGCTATTTAAATGGCTGGCAAGGCCTGCCTGCCGAGCAGAGAAAGAAGTGGCTCCCTTTGCTTATTCATTTAACTCATCTTGGCGATCGCTGGCTTTCGGGTCAGGCTTTGGTCTCATCCTTCCCAGGCATGAAAGCCAAGTCTGCCAGTGGTTCCCATAGTAAGCAATTATAAATGAGGCCACCAAATGGCTTTAGGCTCTAATCGGCCTCTTCTGTCTACCTCGAGAGCAGACAAATGTGAAAATTGCTGTTCCCTAAATGCCAGAGAAGAATGTCTCCCCAGTGCCTCAGTGGAAGGCTGGCTCCCAAAATGTAGCATCTCATCTCCTGCCAACCTGGTTCTCAGAGATGGTGGGGCAGCCAGTTAGCATCCAGAGAGGCTGGAATGCCTGGGAGGTTCTGGCCAGAGAAATAGAAAGAGGCCTCAGGAACAAGGCGGGCTTGTCTGCCACCCTTCACCTCTGGGTGATGCATCTCTTATTTCAGAAGACCAGGACAGTTTGGCAGCTCCAGGCGGGCAATTTAACAAGTTAGGAGCAAGACGAAGGGGCCAGACCAGCAGGCCACCCGGCTCCGTGGTGACCAGGAGAAGAAATCATTTTATATTGTGAAGTCCCCAAAGGTTAGAATCCCAGGGGGAGGTGGAGAATGCTTTCCTTGTGGAAATCTAAGAACTGATTTCACAAATGGCCTGACCCATCTGCTCGGGAGGTTCATCTGCCTCAGCCTGAAGACTGATCCAAGAGGGTTTCTTTGGGGTTCCAGCCAACTCCAAAAATCTAATATGAGCTAGTGTCGAATACATGATTAAGTGAGGGTTGCGTGGAGGTGGGAAAAGAGAGGAAATGGGAATCCAAATGTGGAACGGTGCCAGCAGTGGCTGCAGAGACAGCGGAAAAGTGCTGGCTGAGGCTGGCAGTAGGGAGGAAGTGGGGTCTTTGGCCTTCTCACTTCCCTTCCCAGGGTTCCCAGAGAGGAATTTCCGTGGGGAAGGTTCAGAATGCAGGTTAGGAAGTCTAAAGGGAAAAACAGAACTGGTAGAAACAAATTGCTCACCATGGGACTGAGGAGCCTTGTGTCTAGGGGGACAGGGTGCTGCTGACCTCAGGAGCAGGAGGCAGATGACCAGTAGATTCTGTTTTTGTGCCTCCCCTTCCCAAGAGAGAATATTTAATGTTTGCCCACCCTTGGCCAAAGTCAGCTTGAGTCAAGAAGAAACACATGGAATCTATTACAGAAGCATCAACCTGTGGCTTGGAAAAGTCGGCCCTTAGCCCTCACCATCCCCTTCTCGCAACAATTTCTGAAAGTCTATTTTTCCATTGAAAAATATAGAGTAATTCAATATACCATAATTCCTCTCTAATGTTTACATGCATACTCTATCTCAGGAACCAAATTCCACAAAAAGATCTTTTGCTAAAAAGGAGGAGGGAGGCACCATCAAAGAAACCTCAAATCAAACAAACCACTATAAACGGTAAAATTATATTAAAAATAAACTTCTGAAAATCTGCTGCAGAACCCTTAAATTTTCAATTTGGATTGTCATTTGGATAGAATCCCCACCCTGGGGCCCCCATCAAGCTAACTCTATGAATCTAATATCGTACATTAACTCCCTATGCATTGCATTTTTGGCTCTCAAACTGTCTTAAACATGTCTTGGAAGATTCTCCAAGTCTCCTTCTTCTCTTCATAAAACAAAAACAAGTTCATTAAAATGTCAGGATTCTGTATTCAACCAACCCTGACCAATAGTGTCCTCCACCCACACGATATACAAAAGCACATTCCCTAAAGCATATGTATTAAATTATCATTTTCCAGTCACACAACTTCAGCATTTATTTTTGGCTTTCCTCCCATTCTTCTTAGTAGCCCTTTCTTGGAGCCATCCCCCCGCCCGCCCCACCACCCTGATCTGTGCAGTTCTTCATACTATCAAATGGCTGTGTGTGTATTTCACCATCTACCTATGTCTTTATGTTTTTTCCTCGGGTCTCTTTGCCAATCTCTCCTCGTTTTGTTTAATGAACATTTAATGGTGATCAGTAATTTACTGTGAATCAAGGCTGTCAAACTCAAGATTCTAGCCAGAAATGCCAGGTGTCCCGAAACACGTGATTTACTCGGAATGTCCTAGTACTTGATGACCTTTACAGTATGATTTAAAATGTGACTGACTTTTGGGCTCAGCCAATTACTATTTTGTCTAACTTGGATTTGCTTAGAAAATGAAATAAAAGGCATACAGGTTTACCTTGTGAAGAGATGATCCCCAAGCAAGGGTCTCTGAGTTTTAAACAACTGGTTCAAGATGCCTCTTCACACTTCTGCCCCTGCCTCTGGCCTACACTCCATGATGGAGGATGTGATACACTACCTTGGAGAACCATCTCTGTTATACCACCTTCTTAATCCAGCAGTGGTGAAAGACACAGGGAAATGCAATAAAGTTATGGTCAACTGGTGAATTAGCCCAACTACTACGCTCCAGAGACATCACCAGATGACTGTACTGCGGAGACACAGATTAATGAATTTTAAGGCTGGGAATGGCTTTCCTTTAATAGGAGAAGCACAGTTGTAAGGGCTTAACCATGACATTTCTCCTAGGAGGTTTTCCTTGGAGGCATGTTATCTTAGCTGATGACCAATGGTTTCTCACCTACTGGTTACAATATCTGAATACTTCTAGATTCACTGTTTGAAGCCTTTTAGTAGTTGTACCTCCCTAATGCCTCCTCTAGGACTCTCTGGATCTCTGACCCAGGACACCCCAAGTCCTTGCCCAGTCACAGACCAGCCCAACTTTGATAGGTCCATCCCAGATGCAATACGACATCCACCCTGATCCTTACCATCCTCAAAGCTGCAGTTCTCCCCACACTCTGTGGCCTCCTCGTCAATGGGATAAGGGGTGGTGGTCTCTTCGATCTTCGTGGTGGGTCCTAGAGTCTCGACTGTTGGCTTTGAGTCTGTGCAAAGACAAAGGATGAGAACGTTAAAGCAGTTTGCCCTGAAATGCCCCAAAGATGCCCCCAAACTCTTTCCTAAGTGTGGGCTTTTGAGAATGAAAGTGAAGATGCTCACATGTGCAAAAACCACTCAAGTCACCTGTGTTTGCTGTTGACGGGCCCAGAGCATGGCCTGAGTCCAATGAGAAGGATCTGGAGCTGCAGAAGCAGCTGTGCCCTTGACTCTACACCAAGGCCTCAAGCAAGGCCAGTACGAAAGGCCTCCTCTCCATCAGATGAAACTTTCCAGAAAGCTAATTCTATAAAACACCCTATGGGGCCATCTATAACAGAGTAATCAGGAGCACTATCCCCAAAGCCATAAGAGAAACCCAACACTTGGGCACCTTGGGCAGTGTGATCCAATGTTGTGTTCATGTTTGCCCCAAACCAGATGGATGAGAATATGGACTTCAAGAAACTCAGATTCTATTTGGTGAAAGTAATTTGGGCTGTGCCCTTGGGTCAGGGTGTGGCAAATTCAAGGGCTTCTGGGATCCAAACAGCCACTGTCAGTGAGGGAAGCAGACTGGGGATGGCCAGAGAGTAAGTGGTGGTGGAGATGGTGGCCAGGGGGACCTTGCATGCCAGGTGGAAAAGGTGACTCCATGATTGGCTCCAGCAGTTTGAAGCCTGGGGAGGAGGTGACCCAGTGTGGCCAAGTCCCTCAAACCCCAAGTCGCCCCCACCCCATAAGAAGTCAAAAATCCCCATGTAAAATCTCCAGGCTTGTAAATGTTGGCAACTTATTTAAAATGCTCTAATAAGGGGCGAGGCCTGACCTGGCTGCAGGCAGTTGGTTTTGACCTGGGCTCTAGGTGATTCACTCCGCCGTTCATTTGCTTGTTTATTTGCTCATGCCAGTCATTCATTCAGCAACCATTTGGGGAATGAATGGAGCTATGAGTCAGGCCCTGGGTGGGGTGGAAAGAGTTTTGGAAACTGGTGCTCAAGCCCAAGTGTCGCGGGGTGGTATCTTCATCTCAGAGCTGCCCTCCAACAAGGTGCCCCGAAGAAGCCAATAAATCGTTCCTCCCATTTCTACACATGCTCCTTTGCACTACTGTAGGTGATTAGGCGCCTTTGTCAGGCACCCTTCAGGATACCATTTAATAAAGCCAGGAGCTGAAGGAAATTGCTAAATACGCTGAATAGCTTTTTTCACGGTCGACTTCCCACCTTTCTGCTATTAAATACTACGCACATAACCTTTCAGAAGTCCCTTTGCCTTGTCTGCCTCTTGCTCAAAGTAAATAGCAAATAACCTCGAAGCGTCCTAATTTGTAAGTTCAAATTTGTCACTGTGTCATAGAATCTCAAACTCAATTGTAAAGCCAGCTGTGGGCAGCAAGGCCAGGAGTAAACATTTGGAACACAAACAAACACACTAACAGGTGAAGCGGCGCTGTCAAATTATTTAGCTTCAGCAGCTCGACCCAGCCCATTATTTTTTTTCTGTTATCCTTTTGGGGGAGAAAGAAAGAAATGAACCAAGAGTGAGTTACCAAAACAGATGGAAATTGGAAAAGCCTACAAAAGAGGAAAAGCCACATGACCCAAGAACGGATTCTGAAAATGTTAGGTAGCAAAATGGGTCAGCTGACTGGTGGAGATAAACTGAAACCCAGGGGCACTGGGTGCCAGCCGGGCAACAAGAGGGCATGGTGTGGAATGAAAGTGAAGAAATCGCACCGGTCTTCGTGCCTACGGTGTTTGTACTGGGCGCTCCAAGGTAACTGCCCATCAAACAGCAGCGTTCCCCCAAATTGAAGCCAGATGTCAGAGACTTCAAAGGGAAGTAGGCTGAGCACAGGGTAACACGCCTCAACTCTGATCTTCCAAGGGCCAGGCAGGGCTTTGAAATGGGAAACCTGCTGCTAACCATCACTAGTGCAATTTGGGGCAGGTTGGAGTTGGGAGGACAATCAGGGGAGGAGGTCATTAGCAACTGTCCAGCTGGCCAGAAAGCAGGGCCAGACTGGGAGAGAACAGGCTCAGAGGGACAGAGGACTGACCCCCCCCCAGCAAGCTGAGTGACCTCTGACAAGTGGCTTCCTCTCTCTGGGGCTCAGTTTCCCTGTTTGTAAAAGGGGGCTTGGTCTAGCTCTGTGATTTATTTTTCAATCCATGGGTCACACTCCTCATTAGATCACAGAATGAATTTAATGGGTCATGACCAGCATTTTTAAAATCTGAGCTATAAAATTTCAGAGTGCACTCACCTAGTAAGGATAGCACTGCTTTGGGAACCTTCTGCTTCAGTTACATTTACCTATGAAAGGTTTGCTTGGTGCCAGGTAGCAATCTAAGCACTTTATATGCTTGATTTTTTTGTAATCCTCAGAACAATTCTAGGGGTGTAGATAGACTATTGTATCCCTGTTTGCCGGTTGAGAGAATAAGTCACTTGTCCACAGCTATGCAGCCAGAGACAGCAGAGCGGAAAGACTCGACATTGGCACTCTACCTCTGGAGTGCAAGCACTCAACCACACACTATCACTCCTGTGTGCACATGGATGTGCGTGCTCGTGTGTGAGGAGGGCTGTGATAGAGATTTATTTTAAATTGAGGATCATGCTCAAACACATTTGGAAGCCACTAGCCTGAAGCTCCTGGATCCTCCACAGCACTAACTCCTGATTCTAAGGCGGCTGTAAATGAAGCCGGCTTGTGCTGGAGGTGGGGTTTTCAACACCTGTGAGACGGCAGGTGGAGCAGGCTGCAGAAACCTGGGCTTCGTCCTTACATAAGGGAGAGTAAGTGTCTTTCTACCAGGATGTATCTGTTGGGGTTGCCTGCAATTCCCAGGTGACAGAGGCTAACTTGGGCACGCCTCAACGGGGCTCCTCAGAGCCCTTGTAGCGGGCCTACAGGCAGCACTTTTCTCCCTGGGAGCCAAAAGCACTTCTCTGACATGCCCTTATTAATCCTTCATGCCATCCTGCTGGGAGAGCTGGTGACAGGCAGGGCACAGACAGGAAAATGGGGATACCTGGGGCCCTGGTAGGGAGGGGCAGGACAGCTCAGCCTGCTGGCTGCTCCTGCCTGCACTGGGTTGGGTCCCGAGCCCCAGGTGGCTCCTTCAAGTTCATTGTGGCAGACAGTGAGTGAGCGAGCGCTGTGTGAGATCTAGTGCCAGCTCTGTAGAGGGAGGGGGGCCAGTGCCTGCAGGGGAGGTGGGGTCTGACTCAGAAGGGTAGAGCCCTGCCTTGGAAACAAGGAAAGGTGGGTGAGCTCAGCAGGCCTCACCCTCAGAGGAAGAGTTAGAAGTACTGCCCTGGGCCTGTGCCACCTGACGGGCACAGGAATGAGCAACACTCAGGCTGCACTCTGGGAAGAGTTCCCATAGGCTGCCCTGCAACAGGGTCCCTTCTGAGCAAATAAATGCCTTTTACAGATGTGGCTCTGAAATGAAAATGCCGTCTTTTAGCCACTGACATCTGGAGGCCAGATTCAGACATAAACCGATTACTTTATTATCATGAGAGTATTTTTTCTGCCCTAAATCAACAGCCACAGCCCTCTGGCCTGAAGAGCCGGGGTCTAATTGAATTGGGGTGGGAGGTGTGTGGTTATGACTTGTTTGTGCCAGACTCGGGTTGGAGAACTGAAATGATCCCTTAAAAAGGCCAACACATCCCTTGAGAAACCGTCCCAATCCAGAGGTGGTCTGAGCACATGGCAGGGGACGGGGTGGCTGCTCCCGCCAACCCCTTCCAAGGCATTCTGAGATACCAGGGTCACAAAACCATGTAAGTGAGACTGCAGAGGATAGCAGCCTTACCTGTCCAGTCGCAGCCTAGCACCTCCAGCCGCATGCCAATGCCCGCCGGAGACCACCTCTCTGGGTACACCCTCACATACTGTGCTGGAACGGGGTCGAACCTTCGGATGTCGGGGGTGTCGTAGTGCATGTTCCCTTCAAACAGCTGCAGGGAGACCAAGCCATCAGATCTTCTGGTGTGGGATCTCTCCCTGCTCACCCTCTCCCCCACCACAACCAACCCAGAAGGCAGTTCGTGGTTGGTTCATGGGACGTTATGACTGACAGGGGCTTCATTTTTCAGACCAAAGTACTCCCCTCATTTATGAGAAAATGAGGGACCCATAAATACAGAAAATGGGGAGCAGATGAAAGTGGCAAAAATTGTCAAGTGATGTCTATTTTCCTGGGCTGGACACTGAGGATTCGGGAAAGAATAAGGCTCCGAATGGGTTTGAAGCTGAACTTGGTCAGAGAGAAAAGACAGCCTTCTCTCTAATGCATGAAGGAAGCCTCTGCTGACCAGCAGTCCCCTGAGAGCCTGAAGGCAAACGACCACTCCATTGTCTTCGGGTCACACACTGCCCAAACCTTTGTTTAGCAGAGATAATTCTATCAGGAGAGACCTCACCTAGCATCCTGATGGAGAAAAGTGATGGAGGTGGGCAGCCCTGGTTGAGGTTGGGTGGGACCCCAATCCAGAGCTACCTTGGGGTCCCTCCTCTAGGGGAAGGGCAGGTGTTGGGGTGGTGAGGAGCTGAGTAACCTCCAGGAGTGCTGTTGCTGGACCACCCTGGCTGCAGGGTTCCCAAAGTGGGGCACTATCTCAGGGAGGCCAGGCTGTGACCCTGGCCGAGATCACCTCCTTTTACAAGCAAAGCCAGGGTCGGCTGTCCCCGGGGAAGCCTGTGGTTCAACCTCTCCATCCAATGAAGTCTCCAGTGACCAAACCCAGAGCTTTTCCAAACCTCTGAAATCGTGAGTCGGGAGCTGATACCAGCATTGCAAAACCTCCAAACCAGGCCTGGCCTTGACATTCGGAATGGAAACATTTCCTTCAGAAAGGAAGCTGACCAGAGGCGTGTAATATGACTTTCTTTTTTAGGGGCCCTGCTCTTCTGAGGAAAATGAGGATAACGTAGAAGGGAGGATCAGAGCAAGAGATGAATCTGAAGAAGGACAGAGGCAAGATGTTCTCTCCCGGCCTTCGCCTCTCTGATGGCAGTGGGTGGGCTATCTGGCCTGAACTTCTGGCCTGGAGTAAATTTCTCTCTGTTCTTCCTTATGAGAGGCAGGAAAGATCTAAGCAGTTAAAACTAGGAAAATACAAAGGAGTGCAGCAATGTTTTTTTAAAAAAAAAAAACAGTTATTTTTGGAAGTAAATCCCTAGTTTCTATAGTTTGGCTTCCAGCAACCACATCCTCTTGAGGTGTCTGGCCAATTTCAAGGAAACTCCATCTGACAGAGGGTGTGAAGGGTGTTAAACTTTATAAACAGGTAGTGTGAGTAGGGTTAGGTGTTTGGATTTGAATCGGACTTATAGTTTCTGAATCGTGGGCTTGGACACAGGTAAACTGTGTGACCCTGGTTAGGAGATAAAGCCTCAGTTTCATCATCTCTAAAATGGGAGCAATGGAAGGATTGTCCTTGTAGAGAGCCTGTGGGGTTAAGAGAATCTAAATAAGGTAATACGCACTATGACTGGCACAAAGTAATCTCTCAATATTTGCGTTATTGGATTGCAGAGGTTTGATGATGGCTGTTGGATGAGAAATCAGCACTCCCAACTCCTTGCACCCCACTTAGCCTCCCTATTTGGGGAATGCTACAGAATCCTCCCAGGATGGCCTACCTTTGGCTGCTGGGTTCTGGGGTCCTGGATGTATTCCCAGTCCTTGCCATTTAGGCTGTAGGAGACTTTGAACTTGCGCACAAATGCCCTGGCTTCCACTGCTGTGATGCTGTCTCCTCCACGGGCTCCCTGGATGATGATGCCTTTCACTGTCTTGGGTGCTCCCAGGTCCACCTGAAGCCACTCCTCACCTGGCTGTGCCTGAGGGATTCGAGGGAACCAGCCTGAGCGGCTGCTGACCAGGCGGGCAGCGCTGGGGCTCCAGAGGTACTCGCGGGTGGAGGAGGCGGAGATTTGGGAGTCTGCGATGAGGCCCGAGAGCATCCCCAGCATGTTGGAACAAGGGGCATCTGTGGAGAGAAAATGGAGGTCATGGCTGACCCGCACAAACTGAAGACCATCCCCCTATTAGTAGGGAGCTGCAAAAGAAGCCCACGCAAATACTTTGTTTGGATCAGCACTGATTTCTCTGCATTCTGAAGTTCTATAGCACAGTGATTCAAAGCCTAAACTTGGAGCCAGACTGCCTGGGTTTGTGCTCACTCTGCTACCTACTAACTGACGTCCTTGGATAATTTTTAAATTGTTCTGTTGCCTCAGTTTCCCCATTTTGAAAGGGGAGGTAAGAGTCACACCTATTTCTTGGGGGTTGTTGCGAGGATTCTGTTCATCACTATGTAGCAGCCCTGAGGACAGTGCCTGGCATATTTAAGTATCTGATGGCTTGTAGCTGTTTGTATTTATGGCTTTGGCCAAGGCCTCTCAGAGTGCATGACTGTGCATCCTTTCCAAGCCACTAGTCCCTTCTGACTCTCTCAAGCACCATGAGCACAGGGGAACCCAGCAAAACATTGACTTCTTCTTTCTTAGATGATCATTTTGCTGACTAGATGGAAACATTCCTGGGGTCAGTATCAGATCTTTACTTCCACATGTGTATGGAAGCTCTCTACTGCCTGAGGCTGTTCCTACCACCTCAGAGCCCTTCCCCTCAGTCTTCACTAGGTACCCTTTACTCACCCCAATGCATGAGTGTCACATTCTCAGAAAGGCCATCCCCAATCTTTGAATGCATGTAAATTAAGTCTTGTTCCTTCTCAGAACATCCCGTTCTTTCCCCCCATATACATCTTTGCTTATAATAACACATACTTGTATTTTTTTCTATCCTGTCTACTAACCCTAAAGCTCCATGATGCTAGAGACCTCATTTGTTTTCCTCACTTCTCTAGCTGCAGTACCCAGGGTGTGGCCTCACACACAGCCTTTGTGGAGTGAATGAGGAGTGCAAAATATATGAATCGTGGTGTTGGGCAGGGCAACAGCAAATGTGTATTAAACTTATGAAAACTGAGTAGATTAAAAAAGAAAAGATCCTTCAAGTTGCCTCCCTTTTCCAAATTCACTGGTTCTTTCTTTTCAATCTTCCAGAAAGTGAATCTTCACTAAATCTTTGCTAATTAGCCTTTGCTGGCCTGGAACACCAACACAAAGGATCAGAAAACAGCTTTCTGTGTAGGATCAGGGTGAACAGCTTCCAGGAGAGGGAAGCCAGATCTTTCTGTAAAGGTGTTAAGAGCAGAGAATTTGTATTGAGAAATTGTGGGTACAGGAACCACCTGCCGTTGGGTGGTTTGGGTCAAGCTGTTTGTTTCTTTGAGCCTTGGTTTCTACATCAGCACCTGCCCCACTCACCTCATAGGGCTGTTAGGAAGAGTGGGCAAGATAATGTACAAGGAAGGGACAGGAATGATACAGAGGCTGTACTAATGCAAGGAGTTTAAACCAGAGTGCCCACACAGGGCCACACCCTGGAACACTCCCTGTCAGAGCTGGAATAACCCGGGGGCAGGCAGGTGGGTGGATGTACACTGAAGACCCTTCCAGGTCAAAGAGGCAGCTTGCCTGCTTTGGGGGGAGTCCATAAGACAAGGGATTGGACTGGCGCTAGATGGCTGGCGCTGGTCTAGCCACCATGGTGTTTTACCCAGACCACTGTATCAACTTCCCAAAGACATCCAGATAGCACTCTGGCCTTTTCCAATCTTAGCTCATGTGAGCACCTGTTTTTCCTTCACATATACCCTCCATGCCCTCCTTTCTCTTTTGGTCCTTCTCACCACACAGTGCCACTGAGCAACCTGAGACCACTGCCAGGTATACCTACCCTCCCTTCTTCACCAGGTAATGCCTGTCTGCCTTCTGCCCTCTGACCTCGATCATCAACTCCCGAAGGAAGTCCCCCTAGGCCCCCTGGGCTGGGTCAAATCCCATGAGCCCATATTTCCAAACATAATTTGGGAAACATAGTTTATTCTAGTTTTAATTTTACATCTATTCTTAGGTTTGCTTGCTTATTAATATCTGCCTAACTCATCCGTAATAGACACACAGAACTGGGTCTGTGTAGCTCTTGGCTCTGGCTTGAAGCAGCTCAGAGGACTATTTGAGAGCAGAGTCTTTGGATTCAAATTGCCCAGAGTCAAACCCTGGCTCTACCATTTACTGGTTGAGTGATCAAGCTCTTTACCTATTGGTTTCCTTATCTATAAAGCAATAATAATGACATCTACCTCAAAGAATCATTATAAGGATGATAAAAGATAATCTATTTTAGATGAGAATTAAACCTGGCTCCCAGTTAGCTTTCCATGAGTTTTAGCGAGTAGATGCTTAAGAAAAATATATTGGATGAGTGAATGAATAAAAAGATGAAGGCTTATGGGACTTGAGTCCTCAAACCAAGCCTCCAGGACAGTCTTGTGGTACAACCATACAGTTTCTGAAACAGGGAGCAGAACCCAGGATTGGTCAGTGATGCAGTCCCCACCTCACCTGTGACCCGACAGCCGAAGAGCTCCAGGCGGAGCGCGATGCCCGAGTGCCAGGTCTGTGGACGGATCCTGATGAACCTCGTTAACAGCGGCATGTGGAGTTTGTTCAGAACGACCTCGGTGGCATCATTGTTGGCTTGGAATACCTGCAACAGAAGACACGAAAGTAAGTTCCTGAGATCCTGGTTGGTAATGTAGCCACCCGAACAGGCTTTGAAGTGGGTTGAAAAGTTCTGTTGAATTTTATTTCCCTCAAGTCTAAAGTAACCATGAGGTTTCTTGATGTGGGTTTATTTTACAACACCATGAAAAAAAATTAATTTCTCACACTGCTCCCACTTGGAAAACAATAAATAGTCTTCACAAAAACATTCAGAGGGAAGGGAAATTTTGTCTCTGGGCTGAAAGCAAGCAGAGGAAGGAACTTATCAGAGAAAATACTTCAGAAGCTAAGAAAGGAAAAATTAGAGTATCTATTAAAATCATTCTCCAGCTTGGATTTGATAATCCCTCTTCCTCCTGGTGTAGGCTTACAGGAATATTTGCAGGGAATTTTGTAATTATAAAGTGTTTCACATTTTTTTTTTGATGGTTACTTAGACACTTTCCCACTCCATGAGTGAGAGAGTGGGTGAGGGGGCCCGGTCTACTGCCAAGGTCCCTGGGTTAGTCAATACTTTCTTGCATCTCTCTGGTCTTTGTTGTAGGTCATGGTTGCAGGTGGCCCCTCAGAGTCCTGCTCCACTTCCTCTTACTCTAGTCCCTACCCTGTCATGAAATCCATCCCTGTCCCCAGCTGACCAATACGTCTCTTATGGGAGGAAAGGCTTTTTGGAGTAGTTTCTGATCCAACATGGTAGACGCAAGTCCTGGCTTACCAGATGGCCCAAATCAATAACTGCCATATGGACCTTATGCTTTTTTTGTGCTCTCCATTTAAAAAAAAAAAAAGTAACTGGAGCAAGTATATGTGAGTTTCTCTTGGTTTTCTTGAATAAGGGGGAAGGGAAAAACCAGCTAACCAAACATCATTTCTAAATCATGACTGTCACAACTGTAATGGGACCCTGTAAATTTGCTTATGGCCAACTCTGCCTCAAGAAGCACCTTCTCCTGTGCAGGGGAACTAGATATGTCAGCTTATGATGACCAGGACATGCTAGGAATTTGGGGTACCAACAGGGCTGGGACAGAGGAATGGGAAACTAGTATATGTGAATGCTTTTGAGCCAGACACTGTGTAAACATAGTTGTGTCTGCAACACTCCAGGAAGCAAAGTATTATAATCTCCACTTTATTGATGAGGAAACCTAGGCTCAGAGATGCTTGTCTGAATCCAAAGCTTTTAAGCTTTTTCTTAGGTTGACTTTTGTGTCTTTAAATAACTGTGCAGTATTCATGCTGGTCGCTAGGAGTCATGGAGCCTTTATGGTTCCCAATCATGGGCTGAATGGAAGTAAAATCGCTGCCCAGTGATGTGGCCCCAGGATGAGTTTATAATCCCATCATAGAACGGCTTAGAGTGACAGCGAAGGAAAGCACAGACATTTACAGGCAGTTACCAACCTAGTCCTTTCTTCTCCATGTCCTGTGAACCCCACCATCTGCAAGCTTGTACTTAATAATACACCACGATGGTATATTTGCAACCAAATGAAAGGAAGTGGCTTATTCCAGAAAAATAAAGAAGGGCATCAGCCTACTTCTGTTTAAACTATAGTTCTTGGTGCTAAGTCCGCCAAATCTGAGGGGTTCCCACTCAGCCCACCAAGCTTGCTGCTCCTTCTGCTCCCTGGAGAGTCCTCACACTCTGGATCCTAAGGCTGTCTGTTCCCCCTTCTGCTGTCTTGACGACATCAGGGAGCACAGAGGAAGAACTGGTGATCGTTCTTACCCAGGTTCGATTTTGCTGCTTCCTGTACAGTGATTGAGGATTAGGAGGAGAGAGAAGAAGGTAGAAAAGCCAAGGAAATAGAGAAAAGGGGTGGAGCCGTATACCTGGGAGAAGGCTAGAGGGGAGAGGTCCTGGACCCTCTGCAACCCTAATCTCAGAGAGGGACCCAAAACAAGAGGAGCACCAGCACCAAGGAAAGTCCTGGCCTTGCCATATTCTTGTTTCTTGCTGGCTTTATGCTGACAAAGGGTTCCCGGTTTTGAGGAAAGGGATGGAGGAACGGATTCCAAGGAAAAGAGATGAATCAGTTCTCCCAGAATTCAGCATGAGACAGAGGCTTTTGTTTGTTTTGCTTTGCTTTGGCAAGAAAGAAGCAAATGCAGCTCTTTGCTGATTTCAGACGGGTGCTGTGAGCAGCGGGGGGCTGGGGGGGCTCTGGATGCTCCCTGTGGACGGTGATGGTGATGGGCATGAGGCTTCCAGCAGGAGATTCTAAGGAGTTCATGTGGGGGAAATTGCTTTATTTGCCACGTGAATATATCCTTGGAGAGCTGAGTGGATTTGAACTTGCACACAGCCACCAATCCACAGCATACACACCATGCTGGTACAGTTTAGAAACACAGCATGTCTTATGTGTTTTTAATATCCAGTTTTATCTGATCTGACCCTTTCATTCCTCAGCTTTGGCAAACAATGCCAAGAAACCCTTCCTTTTCTCCCTTCATAAGGGAATGACTGGGTAGCTGGAGCATCTTTGGGAAAATGGTGTGGGTGCCAGTGGGGTTGCATGTGAACATGGGGGTACACCTGCTGGGGTGGAGCTGATCTTCTCATGGATGCATGGGGCCCAGGTTTTGGGTGAATCCCCTCAATCTCCACCCACAGTGGCATCAGTCAGGAAGGAGGCAAGCATATGGTTGATCTCTAGGCCGTCTGCCTGTGGCTTACATGGAACTTTATTCTGCTGTTCTTTTGCTCCCTCTTCTCCCATCCCTGGAATCACATGAAGATTCTTTTCAACTTGGCTTCAAATTATCCTTCATGTTTGTGAGTCTGGTTCCTTACTGGTCTCTTGTTTGTTCTTGACTTTGTGCTTGTATATGTTCCCTATGCTCCAGGTTCTATGCTGAAGGAGCATCATCCCCACTGCCCCAACAGTACTGGGGTTTGAACTCAGGGCCTCATGCATGCTCGGCAGGCACTCTACCACTAAGCTATATCCTCAGCACCTACCATCTTCCTTAAAATTTCTACACATCTCTCACTCTGAGTGTGGTGAAGTGGACAAAAAAAAAAAAAAACCCACAAGACCCACTGCTGAATCAAGAGAAGGAGCCAAGTTCTGTTACTAATTAGCTCAGAAGGTAGGCAAATATCTCTACTTCCTTGGGGGCCCCCGATTTCCTTCTTTACTAAATGGGGGGATTGCATGCATTGATTTGTCAGGTTCTTTCTGGCTGCTAGATTCTAAGCCTTTCTTCACAAGAGTTTTCATGAACTCCTCCAAGGGTATCCTCTTTGTGAAAAGGCATTCATTGTCCCTTATAGTTAAAGAGATTTTGTGGACAAGTGCAGTGGATTTTTTTTTTAATACACTTCAAATAGTGCCCACAACATGTGGTGAGTGCCCCATTCACAGGGAGAATACACCTTGTTGATGTGTTGGTTCAATAACAGTTCAAATTATTAATAACCAAGAGTAATGAATAATACCTTAGGCCTTACCTACTGTCTTTTGCCCAAAGATATCCAAGTGCAATTTATGAAAATCCATTTTTAATGAAATATTAAGTAGTTTCTATTTCTCCTGACCCAATGGATTTACAAGGTCTCTATTTTTCTCCCTGTAGCGCCCCTATTTATAGCTGATAAATGCTATCATATATTATACATCTTTATGACTTTCTCAATGCTTCTGTGGTTTTAGAATCACCCTTCATATGTTTTCTGATCAAATTCCCTGAGATGGATTCTTGGCTTCCAGTCTAGGCATTGCAAGGTAAGGGGTTGTGTGCATGGGAAATGATGCCAGGAAATTGGTTTTATTTCCTATTCTCTGCCGACTCACTGAATCACTACAGAAAAATCAATAAACCTTAGATACCTTGGTTTCTCCTGCAGGAAAATGTTGATAATAGGCCCATAGATGAACACTAGAGTTTACCATCACTTTCAGCTGGCTTGAATGCCTGCACAACACCCAACAAATGGGTTCTTGGCCAACTGGAAGAGTTCAGATTCTGAAAGCCATTGATTCCCAAGTCCCATCTTAAGACTCCAAATTTTTAGGTCATCAGTTTGCAGTGACATGTTCAGAATGCTGAGAAAAATAAGTGGATCTATATATATTATACCCAGAGCATCCATATATATATATTATCTCTAGACAGGCATATATCAAAAACAATGATCAAATTTAAACATCTGTTTTAAAAGCTGGAAGTCAGAGAGTATACACATTTTTATTCATTTTAAAGAAAAATACTACTCTGGTTGTTGGACAATCAGGAGTATGTTCAAGGTACCCTACCTTTCTGGGGATAGGATTAATTATGTTGTAATTATTCAATATGCATGTGGGTGTATTTGCTAAAAAGAAGAAGTTGTATTGGGCATAAAGATTTCTTGAAGTGCATCTCTGCAAACCAAGTTGAAAAAACAATTCAGGGCACAAAGTGGTCTGGATAATCCATTTGGTGCCTCACTGAATTCTGAACATAATCCAACATTTTCCAATTGATTCTTGAGACCTTTGTTTTATTTTCAGTAAGACAGAATCTGAAAACCAGCAGCATTTCATGGATTTTCTGATTTGCACCTCTGGGGGAGGGGGGTATCTGCCAAGTAAATCGGCTGCTCTCCAACACCCTAGTTGGGTTGTTATCTACACCCCCTAGGAAAGACAATCAGCATGTGCTGACTGGGCCCATGCATCCACCAGCCAGGAACTACATGGACTATTTAAAACAGTGTACAATAAAAACATTTTTTTTCTTATATATAAAATAAGAAACATCTAGCTAGAAAGCACCACTGATGTTTTTTAAGGTTATCTCTTCCCTGTTTCTCACCCACTTTTAGTCATAGCGACCCCTCTTCTGCTGACTCCTTCCTTAAATCTTGTGTGAACAGCACACACAGACTTTGGCCCCACTGAGAACAGTGCACACTGTGTCCTGCTGCCTCCTGAGGTTCTAGGCAGGGGGATTTTCTGCCTCACCTAATTCCCTTTCCTATATACTTTTCAT